AGAGGCAAAGTTTTGAAAATGTGTGTAAGCAGTGGAAAAAAAAACTGTAAGAAAAACTGTAATAACTAGATTGAAAAGTTTGAAAGACAAATTTATGCTGGCTTGTCTTAAAGTCTTGTTTAAAAACGTAAATGGTTTGGTCAGTTAGCTGTTCTATATGTTTGCTAAAGTGTTGCTATAGTTGGTTGCTAGGATATTCTGGGTGGTTGCTAGGCTCTTGCTATGCAGTTGCTGGAGTGTTGCTAGAGTATATGGTTGATAGAGTTTGTTCTGGGTGATTACAGATATTCCCACCTCTGCTAATAACAGAAAATCAAAACTCATAAAAATGACAGAGACATTGAGTGCTTTTATACAAAACAGGGGTTTATCATGTTATTTATAATTAGATAAACTGATATGTTTACTCTAGTAAAAAGAGAGAGAGGTGAGAGAGAGAGAGAGAGAGAGAGAGAGAGAGAGAGAGAGAGAGAGAAATACCCTTTATCAAGTTTTATAGATGTTAGTTTTAATATATTGTGCAAGTTTGGTTATATAAATCTAAGCTCTCTGTAGGTAAAGCGAGCTTAACATCTATAATCAAATAAAAGAAACATTTATAATACACTTATACATTTATAATACACTTATACAAATTATACATTGAGTCTTAAATACGTAAATCTTGGGTCATTCGTGAAGTCAGTCATGAAACAACCTATAACTGTAATATTACATAAAATTATTTATTTAAATACATTTAGAAAAGTGTTACTTAAAAAGCTGGCAAAGTACATTTATTTAAAGGTGATTTGTGCAATTTTGTGTAATTCAGTGGGCATGCTTTCTTTTATTCCATGCAAGTGGATAGACAATCAAGTATTAATTTAATTTAATTAATTTTTGCTAAAAACTTCAGCTCTGTGGCACATTTTTTTTAAATGGAGTGTTTATTGTAAATGAGAAATTTTCATGTGCCCTTGAAATCCTTAATCAAAAACACTTACAATTCCATTTGGTGACACATCAGTTCCACACTTCACCTTTAAGTAAAGTAAAAACTTTCTGTCTTCCATAAAACGCTTTACATAGCGTCAGTGTTAAATGCTTTACCTTCATGAAAGCATATGATAAATCATTCTCTTCCTCCTATTTCTGTTTGTATGTTTACAATACCCAACATTGATTTAAAAAAGAAATAGTTTGGCTAAACAATTTGACCTCTGTAAAGCAGGTGGCACAAATGTCCTCCTCACATTGATTATTACATCTACAGAGATTCAAGGCTTGATTCCATCTCCAACATAATGGCCACTAGGTGGAGTCATCAGAGCCGCCAATATCCTTAAATAATGACAAAATAATGGAGAATTGTTCTTATTTGTAAAATGAACTTTAGCACTTTATATTTAAAGACACATTAAAAATCATATTAAAATCAAATAAAATGTTGATTAATTCATAAAGTATGGCTTTTTAACATGTGTTCATACATACCATCGGCTCAAGAGATCTAAAGGCTGCTGCATATTTCTGATATGCGCCAATTATGCAATCTTTCCTGCAGACAAACAAAACAGATACTGAGAGAAAATATCTGAATGTTAGTCACTTATATACATAGTGTCCACAGTATCACTTACTTGCATGAGATTCCTCCACTTGGTGGGAGGCCGGGAATATATTCAGACGCCAGGCATTTCATCACATAGAGCAGGTCAGGTTCCTGGTCTCTAGATCTGATCATGTTAATGATCTCTGAGTAACGTGAAAGAAAAAAAAAAACACTTTTATATACAAAATCTAACATTTATAGAGCTATTTTATCTAATATAGTGTGTTTAAATTGCATCTTATTTTATATCGAATGAATTGGTGAAATTACCTGCCACTTTTTGCTCAATGACGTGCTCTAACTCTGCCTCCTGTTGCAGTGCCTCTGGGGTCACCTTGGGGGCGCCGTCGAAGCAGATAATGATAATGCTGATGTTGTCTAAGCTTCCCTGCAAGGTAAGAATTTAAAATCCTGCTCACAAAAATCAAATAAATAAATTAGAGTAGGTCAATGTACTTAAATAATACTAGAAAATGCTAATACATAAATATATTGAGTTCATGAATTAAGATTAAATATGCTCATAGACAGCTAATGCCAGTTATAAACCAAAGGAGCTCTTGGCCTGGTCGAGTAGCTGGTTGTAACTCTGGATATCTCTTAACCTGCAGTCTGAATCTATCTTGTAATCTCCTCTCGCTCTCTCCTATTTATATAGCAGTATCTACATAGAACGGGTCAAGCTGATTCTATTATGTGCTCTGTAATCTTTGTAGGGTATCAGACCGAATCAGACAATGTAAGATTTGATAAAGAACAGTTGAAACACGAGGAGCCGAATTCCACAGAGGCCTAAGACAACAGGATGTTCATAAATCAGACCCTAGCACTAGCCAGTCTGAAGCAAGCCTAACCAACTCTTTCACAGAGCAGCTTTCAACAATAACACAAAAGGAACACACTGATCATAACAACTCAGGAAGGAGATTGTCAATTTTGGGGCAAGTAATCAAGATTAAATGGTCAAAGAGATGACAGCATGACCCTCACGTGATAGTAAACACAGTCACGAGCCCTGTATATTGACTCCCCCCACCTTGACGACAGAGAAA